TGCGATGGAAGGGAAAACACACCAAAACCCTGACTAAACCAGAGGTGAAAAAATCTTGAGTGATTTTTTGCCATAATAAAGATTTGAATTTGCGACAAAACTCCACTTCAGAATTATCTCTAAATATCCTGGACTTAGAAATTTCACCTCCTCACTTGTCACAGAATGGGTGATCTCTCTTCTTTTGAATTGAAATCCGTTGAAAACTGACTCCTTAGCACATAAAATAAGAACGCACGTGTATCAATCTAACTTTGACATTCTTTGATTTAAAGGAAATCTGTACTCGAGTTTCACCTTACTCACATTTTCACACAGAGAAAAGAAAAAGAAAATCTGCAAACTCTCAAAAATAGAATTAGTCATGAAGCAGACGTCATTTGTCTCTAAACAGAAGAAAATGTAAACATAGCTTTCTCTGGAATCAGTTGGTTACCGTAAAAAAAGTTAGACGAATCTTGTACTTATATTTTTCGCACAGCCAACCTATGGCTGAGATATAAGTAAAAATAGAATATAATCAGTAAACTGCACCGGGAGCCTTAGTTAAAATTGCAAACCAACTAACCTACGTCAGGCTATTTTCTGCACATGATGAGATCTGGATAATGCTTCGCCATCTTGGATTAATTTCCCATTATTCGTTGCAGAACAAAAACGTTAATCAGACGTTCTCATGCCAAGTCCCCTCGGTCAATATTGCGCACGGTTCGAAAGCCTTCAGAAGGAAGTCGTTTTGAGTCGACTTCGTTTTGTAAGAACAAACGGAATGATCAAGGCGTTTGCTATTTTTTTGGAGTGTATAACTCGTATTTATTTATTTCGTTCTTTCCTTTTTTTCATAACAACACGTTAGCGTTTTTTCTTCGTCAGTTACACCTTTTAGCACGGTTCTCATACCGCACGTTATTTCGTAGTCCTCTTGTATTTAAAGCCAGTTTCTTTTGCACATAATCACTTTTTAAGTCAGTTTACCCACAGTCGCGCTTTGCGATTTTGCAGTACATATTAGGCGTTATCAATGTAAGTACTTTTCCGTTCCGCTTCGTTTACATTAATTTTTTTTGTAGTTTGTTAACTTAATTAGTTAACTTAACTTATTTATGTGTTTAGTTTCAACCGACCATTACTACTGCAATCTAATAAACAGTATTATTTCGAGTTGGAAAGATAACTTTTTTTGTTGTTACTCGGAATGTTATAATGTACGAAAACATTTCCTGTTTAACTTGTCGCTGTGCGCGCGCATGGTGTAATAGCTCATAACCCATCATGCCTAAGCCAATGAAAACTCTTAGATTGCATTATCTAATGATCCAGTTTTTGATATTAACTAATTATTTATTAGCCGTTAAAGCCATCATCCCATTAGACCCTCCAGGAGATCTATCATTAGTATGTCTGATCGGAAAAGGAGGCCCAGGCCTCCCAAAGTTCCAGACCTACCGACCCTCCTATTGTCTATTGTTATTAATCCCCTCATTGGACGCCTGGACACAA